GCGGGTGCATGCGGGGCCGTTCCCCGGCCCCCTTGTTTTCTTCGCGCCGGGCTGCATCCTCCGGCAGCCGAGGGGAGGAATCTGCACGTCTTGCTGCCCCTCCCGGGGGAAGAGGCAGCAGTCCCGGTTTGGTTTGCTTTCTGTGCAGCCCGTAACTGCGGTGTTCTTCTCTTCCTTTCCTAGTGTACTCTGCCTCCAACCTCCTAGTGCTGTTAAATGACTGGATTCTCCGAAAGGAGCTGCAGCGGAGCCTGCCCGTGGTAAGGCTGGAGTGTGTGGGAGGAGGATTTGGGACACATGCTTTCTTCCTTGCAGTAGCTTTCAGGGAGTGTCTGTAGAAACTAACAGGTCTTTTCTGTGGCCTCTCTTTGCTGTCAGGTATGTAGAGGCCAGAGGCAACCTCTGAATGCAGGTAAACAGCAGCCCTGCCCTGTAGCTCCTGGCTCGGAGGAGTGGCCAGAGCACTCCCTGGAGCACAGAAATCAGGCTCTGACTTGCACCAGGAGCTCCACTGTTATTTTGAGAAGCTCAGAACCTGAGCTAAGCAAAAGTGTTGCTGAATAACCGTCGCTGTTTCCAGAGCAGTGGCTCTGGAGCACTGAAGCTCTGATTCCATCCCTCAGACTCTTCCTTTACATATGCTATTGAGCAAAACAAATATAAGCACCTTGCTTCTATGTCTCTCCTGCAAGAGCCCCAGGCTGGCTCCCAGCACTTGTTAGACCCTTTGGGGAATGAGGAGGAGGGCTTTTTTTTCTAGACAGGCCTCTTCTGTTGCAAGCCTGCCCGCTGTGTGGGTTTGGGTGTAGGCAGCTCTCTGGAGCGTCAGGCGTGTAACAAACAGACATGCAAAAGACTTGCTTCCCAGGTTGTTAAAGGCCAAAGTGAATTTCAGCTGTATTGTCTTTATTGATGCTTTTCAACGGTTAAATCTGAGGAGGAGGGCTTTTTTTTTCTAGACAGGCCTCTTCTGTTGCAAGCCTGCCCGCTGTGTGGGTTTGGGTGTAGGCAGCTCTCTGGAGCGTCAGGCATGTAACAAACAGACATGCAAAAGACTTGCTTCCCAGGTTGTTAAAGGCCAAAGTGAATTTCAGCTGTATTGTCTTTATTGATGCTTTTCAACGGTTAAATCCTGTGGTTGACAGCACCAGCAAGTTCCCACGTGGGGAGCAGGGACCCTGGCTGGAAGAGCACCCACTGTCTTGGGGTTCATGCCTGGACTCTAGACTGATGCTGTATTCAGCAGGCATTTGCTCTGGTGTGACTGTGGACTCTGGGTCCTCTTCTCTCTACTCCAAGCGTACTCCCTTGTCAACTCTAACCAGGGAGGAGGTTCATCCTGTATCCCAACTCTGGGACGAGGAGGAGGAGAGAGTTTTGCCGCGGAGTTTAGGCACAGTGGCGCAACCCAGGAGACTGTCCTGCTGTGTCAGTTGGGGTAGAAGGCAGTCCAAGATACAGCTGTGATGTTCTCCCTGTTTCTGGGGTAGCAGCTCTGTGTGATACACTGATGTCTCGGTCTGCCCCTGCTTGGAGGTAGAGAAGTGGGCTTGTGCATAGACTTTGGCTGCAGTGGAGGCACCACTTTTTGTTTCTGGGGCTGTGACTTCCAAGGCCATCCGGTGCTTATTTCTGAGAGTCTCGCCAGACTGGGCTGTGCTTCTGCCCCGTTTAACTCCCAAGCAGAACCTGCATCCTGTCCCCCTCCTCCCCTCTGTGTTTTGCAGTCGCTGCCCCAGCAGAAGCTGCTGACCTGGCTGAGTGTGCTAGAATGCGTGGAGGTCTTTGCAGAGATGGGGACAGCCAGGGTGTGGGGGGAGATGGGCCGGTGGACCATCATTGTCCTCATCCAGCTGGCTAAGTAAGTGCTGCGGGCGGAGGGGAAGGGGCAACGTGTGCTCGGAAAGGGGATCTGGAGGGGACTCAGCAGTACCCTAGGAAAAAACCTAAGCAGGACTGAGCTGCCGGTCCCTGAGGCTGGGGGAATTTGGAGCCCCACAGCGTGCTGGATACTGTGCCACAGAAGGGGACACCTACCCCTCTTGCCTTGCCAGTTGCCCTGAGCAGACCTGAGTGTTTCCCTCTTCTGTGGAAGCCACCTTTCCAGTGCAACAGGAACCCAGCTCCGTAGCCTGGTATTGAAGGCTTCCATGTGTCTGCTCACAGAGCTGTCCTTCGTCTCCTGCTCCTGCTGTGGTACAAAGCTGGCATCCAGACATCTCCTCCCATCGTACCGCTGAACAGGGAGCAGCAGCAGCCTCTCCACCCCCAAGGTGAGCCCATGGTGCTGTCATCATTGGCTTGGCGCCTTGCTGGGCCACATGTCTTGTCCTGCTAGGAAATACTCATCAGAGCAGCGGCGTGGGCGGTACAGGGAACTGTAAGGCTTCAGTATGCAAAGCTGAGCTGCATTGAACTTTACACCCTTTGCAGAGCACGAGTTAGCTTGGTGACAGGGTTGCCCTGCAGTCTGGAAGGAGGGGGTGAAGGAGTCTAAGCCTGGAACCACTGGCTGAACTGTGAGTCAAGCTGCATGTCCCCTGGTCTGACGGTGAGGAAAGAGATCCTAGGCCTGGGCAATGTCAGGCAGATTTACCTTTTCACCCTCCGACAGCTCTGCGCAGTTTTAGCCCCTTCAGGATGGTCCAGTTTGCACTAGATCAAACTTTCAGTCAGTCTTCTTGGTGGCAGTGTAGGGAAGGGTGCTGCCACCTCTGGGGTGAGGCGTGTTTCTTCGGAGCCTGATCCCTGTGGCTGCTTTCTTCTGCAGACATGGAAGACAACTCCTCAGGGAAGGATCAGACATATGTTGGCAGGCGTTCCAACCGTGTTGTGCGCTCCCTCCAGAGCAGTAAGTAGTGGAGCCCATTTTCTGTCCTTGTCTGAGCTGTTTCTGCTCTGTGCCCTTTATGTATGACCTGGGTGTGGGGCAGTAAAGAGCAGAACCTTGTATTGGGGCATATCCTGCCAGTCACTGGGCCCTGTGGGTGGGGGGATATCAAAGCAACGGGGATTCAGGCACATGCTGCAAGGCTAGCATTTAAATTGTATTTTCCCAAGTGAGCTGTGCAACGGAGATAACCCTTCAGTGTGGTTATGCTTTGAGGGGCACAGACCTTACGAGTACCTCTCCCTGCCCTCTGGAGGCAAGCTCTGAGGGCGCTGGTCAGCCGCAGCAGTTGCTGTGTGCGCAGCTCTTCAAGCTTTCCTGTTTCACACCTTCACAGTGCAGAAAGTAGTAGGGTGGTGGTGCGGGGAAGTGTGGTAGGAAGGCTTTATTTGTGTTAGTGACCTGATCTACTTGTTTCAGCCCCATCCCTGCAGTCCCGGCACTGGGGGTCCCCTCAGCAGAGGGAGGAGTCGCAGAGCCGAAGAGCAGAGGAGATGAACCAGCCTCCCACCCCTCTGGGTCTCCAAGAAACCATCGCAGAATCCATCTACATTACCCGCCCTCTGCTCCACCGTATCCTGCCCTGGCTGCGTGGGGGCTCATGCCATACCCGGGGTGCCGGCAGAGGGTGCTGCGGGCTCGGCCCTGGTGCAGGGCAGTGCCGCACCAGGCTTCTCTCTCCCTGCTGCTGCTCTGCTGAGGCAGGGGCCTCGGGACTCCTCCCTTCTCTTATGCCTTGATGGCTAGCCTCAGCTGCTGGAGTTGTGGGTGCAAGTCCTCCAGCCCCTTCCCTGGGCCCCCCCAGCACTGCCTTAAAGTGTATTCTCCTGGGCTCAGCAGAGCTTTGCTGGCACCCAGGGGATCGTTTGTCTGCATGCCTCTTGTTAGGCATCTCTGGTTCTTTCCGTTCCTTGACTCTGCGTTCCTAGTATTGAGTTTAGGAGTGTGGGGCCAGAGATCGTGGAAACCCTGGCTCCTTTCAGCAGTCCTGGACATCTCTAGGTCAGTCTGAGGAAGAGTCTTTGCGGGTGCTTGAGGTTGGTGGTGGCTGAGCATCAGACTTCCCCCTGCTCCCCAATCCAGGGCAGGCCCTACTGAGAGAAATACACACAGGGACTGGGCCTGGTCTTTAGCTGGGAGATTGACACGTTTAGGTATCTTCTGCAACACTTAAAGTGCTCCATGTTCTGAGCTGGTGCAGCCTGCTCTGTGTGGAGCTGAGAACGGAGGGCATTTAGAAACCCACTTTCTTTTCCCTGCTGGCTGCTGTTGCCATGAGTTAGCTCTCTGTCTTTCTCCTTCCAGTTTGAGCTTGCTGAGTGATCTGAAAGACTTGAACAGGCGAGAGCGAGCAGAGCTGAGGCGACGAACCATCCTACTGCTGTACTACCTGCTGAGATCTCCTTTCTACGACCGATATTCAGAGTAAGGGGCCCCTGATGGGCTTTTGCTGAAAATTTCCCTTTTAACAGAAATAGTGTCAGGGGTCTGGGTGAGTAGATCTGAAGAGGTCTGGGTGCCTGTGACCGGTTTAATCTGAGCCCTTCTGTAACAGCTGCCATTGCTGTTCATATGTTCAACAGCTGGGGCAGGAGGTGTCCCGCTGGATTTGTTTATATTTTCTCCCTTCCTAGGGGCAGGATCCTCCTCCTTCTGCGCTTGTTGGCTGATTACGTGCCCGGAGTTGGCTTTGTCACACGTAAGTGGGCCCTGCTGCTATATCCCTGTTTCTGTTGGGTGGGGAAAAATCAGGGGAGTTGAGCAGAACGTCTGTCAATTGGTTTCCAACCTGAGGAAGGAATTGGGAAGTCCCTAGAATGGTTAGCACCAGTGCACCCTGTATTGATGCTTGTGTTGTTTTAAACTGGAACAGGAAAGGATTAATTGCTCCCTGGCTATTGGGGACCTGCGCTCGACCACAGTGGTAAACCTCCCTGTGCCCTCCCAGGCTGCAGAGCTCTGTCTCCTGGGCTCACTTTTTGCACCTCAGCTGGTGCACCAGAGCCCTGCTTTGCAGCCCCTGTTTTTGAACTCTATTCCTTGATCCCCAGTCTGCAATGCAGACACGAGGGGTAAACAGGTGCCTAGAGGTATTGACCCAGCCAGGAGCTGATTGTAAATCAAAGGGCTGAACCAGGTCTGTCTTCTCCTAGTCCTTCACCAGAGGATCCCTTTGTTATGGGCCAGAATTCCACCACCCCCTCCTCCCTGCTGAAGTGAAGCCTTTTGTGGAGTGATTCGTGGCAGTGATGTGGCATTAGATCAGCCTGGCATCGTGGGATTGTCCTTTCTTTGGGGAGTTCACAAAGCTGGCTAGCTCAGGAGCCGCTTCCTCCAGTTAGTGATTTCAGAGAGGCTTTGGAGCCTGCATTAAGCCATGTGCTACATAAGCATTTTCATTCTACAGCAGTTGCTTCTGTGTCTGCACCTGCTTGTTATTGCTGAGTTGTCTTCCCTCTTTCCTGTGCCACAGCAGTGTCCTCCTAACTTGCTGCATGCGAGTTTTCCCCTTGCACATTGTAGAACCCCCTTCCCACTGGAGCTTGGATGTGTCAGCTCTGAGGGAGTGGTGTCCCGCACCATGGCCACGCTGACCATGTTCCACACCCTGCTTGGTCCTGCTCTAATCTCTGGCACCACATCCCAAAGTTGTCTCCCATCTTGGCAAAAGTAACTGTTCTATTCTTGAGTTCCTCTGAGTTGTATAACTGGAGATTTGGGATTGTTGGGTATCATAACGAGAAGGGGGGATATACCCCATATACATACAGCTTCAAATTCTTGCCTTTCTACATGCGTGATCCCTCTGTTCTCTTGTTTCAGGGCCACTGATGGATTACTTGCCTGCTTGGCAGAAAATCTATTTCTATAACTGGGGCTGATGACAAGATGATTATTCTCTGCTAAGATCATGGCTGGACATTTCTAAGGAGGTCAGGCAGGCTGGGGGAGGGATGTTGATAATGTCTAATTTTCAGTTAAACCATCAATGAGAACTCCTGTTCTGCAGGGTGGGGAGGGGTGTGTGTAATTTTTTTTAACAGATCTAGCTGTGAATGATGGACACTACATGTGTGGAGAGAGCCTGGCCACCTCTTTCTCTGGACCGTTCTGTGGCTGCAGCAATGGTGATGGGACAACCTCTTTTTTTAAGCACTTGATTTTTCTCCTTTTGTACGGCTGCACTATAATAAAGCCAGGCAGCATAGTGTTTTTCGGAGAGCATTGTCTCCCACCTCATGGCGCTGAGATAGACCTGCAGCCTGCTTGTGTTGGCCGTGCCTGGTCGATCTGCTTGGAGCGGGCTTGTCTGTCAAATAAACTGACTGAACAGAAAGAACTGAGCTGAAGGACCTCTCTTCCCCTGTTTGCCTGGGATCCTCTTGTATATGGTTGCCAGCAGGTCTCTCTATTGGAAAGAGCAGCTTTTGCAGTTGTCTATGCTGGGATATGCTGTCCCTTAGAAGCCTTTTGCTCTGGCCTGTGTCAGGCAGGGCCCCACGTGTTGCTAAACTGATGACTGTAGCCTCTAACTCCAGGTGCCTGGTTCGGTCCCCAGTTTCCTGGGGTTCCCCTGGGGGTACAGAGAGCTGCAGTTTGCAGGCTGCCTTCCTAGCACCTAATGTGTGCTAAAAGGGTTTGTAGAATGGCTGCCAGCCAGTGCTCGGGGGCTTGGCCAAGGGCAGAGAGGAGAAGAAATGAAGAGATTAATTCAACAAATACTGCTGTGCCACACTTAACAAAGGGCCCAGGAGAGGCCTGGACAGCCATGGCCGTCTTTTTGTATCTGCTTTGCTAACTGGTGGACAGTTGAGGCATCAGTCTGCTCAGTGAGCTGCTGTGGAGGCTCCCTTGGCCAGGACAAAGGGGTAGCCAGCTGGTGGCACTGGCTTGTCCCGCAGGCGGCTGCCAGTCCTGTGCAGAGCTTGGGAGCTGGAAACTGCCGGGTGTGTTGGCCTCAAGTGGGTGACAGGAGCCTTCCTACCTGAACCATCCTTGAGGGATTCTGGGGCTGCAGGGGTCACAGCCTTCTTGCCTCAGCACCTGAAATAGGGCATCCACCCACCCACCCCCCAAATGGGCCATGGCAGTTGGGGACCACAGGGTTTTGGCAGCGGGTGGGGTCTATGTTGCCACCCCAGCTGGCAGCAATGCCCTGTAATGCAGCAGCAGCAACATGGAAAAGCCATGGGTGAGGGATTGTGCTTTTCATTTGGGCTGCTAGCAGAGAAAGATGCTGAAGATGGCAAAGCCTGGAAAGTGTTTGGGGGGTTCACTCCTGGGGACAGGGAGTTACTGAGATGAAGGGGTTTGCTCTTGAAGGGGTTGAGAGGGAGGCGAAGGATGGTGGTGAGGGACAGGGAAGCAGCCCTAGAGCTGTGGCTGTGTGGAGGGATGTGCGCCAGGCAGGGAGGCTGCGAGCAGCTGGCGTGGCCTAGGCAGGACCAGGCAGCCCAGGACCAGAAGCTCACATACTGGGAGGGGGTAGGCAGCAGCGCCTGGGCAGGGGCCTACCTCCTGCCCAACCCAGCTGGTGTCCCAGGGCCACCGGAGTGGCTCCTCTGTGACCTCGCTGTGGAGCCAGCATCAAGGTGCGCCATGCTCCACAGGCTCCTGCTGCTTGCCCTGCTGCTGGGGGCTGCCCTCCCGCGGCCCCTGCGCCAGAGGTAATGGTGCTCCCCTCCTCCTCCTCCCTGCCCTGCTACCTGCAGAGGTACCCCAGGGCTCCTGGCCCAGGCGTGGGCTGGCACTTGTGGCACCAAGCCCTCAAGAGCTGGCCGGGCTGGGTAAAGACAAGCGGCGCATGGGCGCTCTTGTGCCAGCGTGGGTGAGTGCCACAGGGCTTTGGCTCACTCCTGTCCCTGATTATCCTCCGTAGGGTCAGCTACTCGGTTCCTGAGGACTTCTCTGCTCCCCTGGAGCTTCCACAGCAGCACTTTGGCCTGGTGGATGGTACAGCACCCTCCTTGCCCCTCCGAACTCCCTTGCCATGCACTCACCCCTCCAGGCGGGCGGTTGTCCCCAGCCCCGTGAGCAGCCCCAGGGCTGAGCCCAGCCTCTCCGCTCTGCCCACAGATTACGGCATCAAACCCAAGCAGCCTCGCTTCAGGACCTGGGCAGCCCGGGAGCGGCCGGCGGGGCTGCGCAGAGCTGGCAAAAGCAAGCGTGATGAACTTGACTTGCTGGAGTACTACTATGATGCCCGCTTGTAAGCCAGCATGTCCCTGTGCCCATCACAGCCCAGCCTCCAGGACGCCCCCCGCCTGCCCTCTGCTGCTGCAGGACAGGGTAGGTGTGGAGTGTAGGAATGGGGCGGGGGGTGAAAGGGTAAGCCCTATTTTGAGTGAGGACTGGAGCAAATGACCTCCAGAGGTCCCGTCTGATCATCATACGATGATCTCTGGCCTCCAGGGATTGCATCTGGAGCTCTCAGACCAAACCTGAGAAGCTCCAGCTCCTCTTGGGGTCCCAAGGGAAGGAATGAGCCAGGGCCCAAACTCACTGCGGTGGGACACAAACAGCATGGCGGTCCTGCTCCATGAACCATCATATTTAATAGTTGTTGCCATCACAGCAGATCCAGCTGAAGCACAGAGACCGCTGGCTGCAGGGACCGGGAGAGCTCTTCTACCTCCACGGTGCTTCACACAGTTCCCTGCAGGCTTTAGCCCTTCCCTGCCCCACTTCTGGCAGGGACCCAGCTCTGCGCAGGGGCTGAGCCCCACTGCCCTGGGGTGGTCCAGCCCTGCCGCTGCCTCTGCCACCTGCAGCTGGGGGGAGGGGGGGGAAAGGGGCAGAGAAAGTCTCCCCTCCCAAGGGTGTAGTTACTGCAGGGAGGTATGGGGGTACTTTTATCTCTTCCCAGGGCATGGATACAAGAGGGGAGGGTGGGGATGGGGGCAGAGGCAGGGGTGAGCTGTCTCAGCTCATCCTGGTGCTGGCATGCCTCTGGCAGGGGAGATACTGGGGCTCCCTCTGTCATTCCTGTCCAGCAGCCTTGTCCCCAGGGCCCGGCAGGGAGGCGATGCCTGCCCAGGGCAAGCCCATCTCCCAGGCATGAGCCAGCACACGGGTCTTCTTTGCTGTAGCTGCTGTGTCTTCATACTGCGAGAGTCTGACTCTGCCACTGCATTAAAAGTCACCCCAGAGGGATGTGACGGGAAGCTGGGCCATGGTCACAAGGAGGAGATGCTGTCACCCCAGCCTGCAGCAGGAAAGGGCCCAAGCACGCTGCTGCCCACCCCTCCGCTGCTCACAGGCAGGGCACCCAGCGGGTGCTTCTCCAATAGAATAAACTAAGAGTATTTTGTACAATAAACACAATTTGTCCAGCCCTCCCCCCTCCCATCCCCCCAGCCCGAGGAAGGGGAGTCATGAAAAGAGGCGGGGGGCCCGCCCCCCG